TTGCGCCCCTTGCGCCCGGGGGCAGCCGCGGGGCGGGGCAGCCGCATTTGTTCCGGTCGCTGATGGGAACTTGGAGAGGTTTTGAGGAGATCACCCAGCGCACCTTGGACATGGAGCGTCTCCGTTTCCATTATAAGCTCCAACAAATCCTGCGGAGTGGGAAACCACCCTTTGCTACCTCCAAAAGCATCTTCCCAAAAGACTTTTCTCACCAAGCCGAGCCTGAGACGTCACCTGCGCGAGAAGCTCCCTTGCCGCGCAGCCGGAGCCCTTTGCGGGTGACGATCCTGCCCTCGAACGCGCGGGGCCGGCACCGGCGAAGCGCCCGGCACCCGCGTACCCCACGTCCCAACGCCCTCTGCGATGAGAGGAGCAGGGCCGGATCCCGAATCGCGAGCCCCACGGCTCCCTTCCACCTCAGCAAGCTCCGCTACAACGACGAACTCAAGGAGTCTCCAGGGGACGTCGCTGTCATCCTCGACGAGTACGCGGAGCTCAAGATGCTGAGCAGGGCCGAGGCGGGCGGCGAGGGCCCAGGACAGGCCCCGGGGCGCGGGGAGGCCGCCGTCGATCCCTGGGAGGATGGTGGCTTTCGAGGAGGTGATGGCGGATCTGTGCGGCGCGCTGCGTTTCCACCTGCGTGGCGTGGCCAGGGAGGCCTGTGGCCGTGCCGGGATGTTCTACCTGGTGGAGACGGGCAAGGAGCCTTTTTTCGCCAGGGTGAAGGTAACGGCGGGGCCTGGTGTCCCTCGTGGGGATGGGTGGCCCCATGGGGTGAGAGCTGAGGGTGGCAGGAGAAGGCGCGGGGCTTTTTGTTGGCTCCTTTGAGCTTCGTTTCGGCTCCAGTAAATGGGAATGGGGATTATAAAATCATTCAGGTTGGGAAAGAGCTTTAAGATCATCGAGTCCGACTGTTAACCCAGCACTGCCAACTCCACACTAAACCATGTCCCCAAGTGCCACATCTGCCCATCTTTTAAACACCTCCAGGGTTAGGGACTCCACCACCTCCTTGGCCAGCCCCTTCCAGTGCCTGACAGCCCTTTCAGCCATGATTTTTTTCCTCATACCCAACCTAAACCTCCCCTGGCACAACCTGAGGCTGTTTCCTCTCATCCTATCACTTGAACATCTCGCAGGCCAAACCAGACCAGAGTTCATACAGGAGCAGCCCAAATTCAACCCCCTCCAAGGTGACTTTTGCTCCAGCTCTCATTAAAGGGGTGGAAACTGCAAGAGTGATTGCAGGGTAAGATTTGCTGCGGTGGATGTGATCTACCTTGACTTCAGTAAAGTCTTTGACACAGTCTCCCACAGCATCCTCACAGCTAAACATTAGGAAGAGTGGACTGGATGAACGGGGAGTGA